TGTTTGGACCCGATTTACTGCCAAGAGTAAAAAGGCATCTTTCAGACAATTGGAGCAATGGCAGTATGAGCTGAGAATCCATTGTTAATTTGCTGAATGTGATAATGGCATGTAGCCATGAAAAAAATCCATTTTAGTTAGAGATACATACTGAACAAATTTGGTGAGTAACATAATTTTGGAAATTTGCAGGAAAAAAGTGGGCAGTGACAACTGGAGAGTGTTAGAATTTGATAATTATTGAAGTTGAAGGATGGTTACATGGGAGTTCATTATTCTATTCTCTTTTCTTCTGTGTAGTTTCAAATTTTCCATAAGAAATAAAAAAGAAACCCACAAAACAGAACTATTGTCTGGGTGAATATTCTTAAATCTTAGAGAGGCATTTTCTACCTTTTATTTTCTTTTTCACTTGAACTAAAATATCTCAAGGACGTGGCAAGATGTACCTATTTTTTATTTAAATAAATGAATCCTTCCAGAAAGGTTTGAACGAGGATAGGAAAAAGAATGCAAAAAACACAGTCAGTACCTGTCAAAATAGCAGCATAGTGGTAAAAGAAGAAAAGCATCATACAAAAGGATGACGGGATGTGTCTGGACCCCACAGGTAACAAAATAAAAAAAAAAACACCCTAAACTGATACCCTTCATTTCCAATGCTTCTTCAGTTATTGCAGAATTGCTGGGAAACATTTTTTCAATGGTTTCAAGTTGCTCAAAAAGAGTTTTATATGACAATGGTAATCCTGATATTTAAAACAAATAACTATAAAATACTTGGGGTTTTCCCCCTATTGAAATCTTCTCGACATAAACATTAATATACACCCATTACTAAAGCTGATAAATTAATGTGCAAAGCAAATGCACACAATCTGAGTTAGAATACAGGTAACATTAGAGTTAAGAAACACACAGCAGCCAAACAACGCATCTGTGCCTCTATCACGATCAAATTAGATTAGCCATTATAGGGAGCAACAGTTCTGAGATTATAAACGGTATAATCTATATTGATTTATATAAATAGTACAAACATATATTATTGCCTTTTCTGTGGTTCCTAGTCTGTAGTTAAGCTAAGCTAACAATATGTACTGCTGCTTTCCCCCCTGCTAACACCTGGAAGGAAAGGCTCAAACGATGCTAGAAGACTACCTTGGTACCCGACTGTTAAGGCTCAGCATTTGGACAATGGAAAATCCTATGTTAAGAGAGTGGATATAAAAAAAATTTGCAAAAGCCTAAATATTTTGCATATTGATAATCAGAACTTTATTTCAAGGTTAAACCAGGTCAGACAAAGTAAGACAAAAGCTCTCTAGAATTTTGAGTGTTATATGGGTAACTAGTGCAACAAGATGGTGCTAAAAAAATGTAATGGGCATTACCATGGACATTTAGCCTGAATATAATCTATATCTACACTAATAAAAGACAAAGATGCTAATCGACTGTACCTTCACTATGCCCACCAGCCAATCAGAGCGACTATATGCAAATTAACCCAACCAAGGTGGCAGTTAATTTGCATATACCGGCTGGGAGCGAAGACTGAAAACAATGTGGAAGCGAAGCACTGCAGAAGGGAGCTAAGTAGAGGCAGCGGAGACAGGAACGGAGTCAAGGCGGCGGGAGGCGGGAGGGAAACCAGCCGGGTGGCGGGGCGGGAGTGAAACCCACGGGTTTCGCTTGCTTCTCTGCTTCGCTCCAGCTGCAGAAAGCCCTATTCTTGTAGGAATCTTCCTGCAACGGGCCTCTAGTATATATATAAAAGCCTAAGCGACCGTTAAGACCGGACAACTAGACTAGCAGGTAGCTATGATGCACACTTACCACCAGGGGGCAGATGCTCAATGCAGGAGCTGCCCCCTGGTGGTCAATGTGCTCCCATAGCCAACCTCCCACAGCCAGCCAACCTCCCGAGGTTCCTCCCCCTGGCCAGCTAGATTGGCCCTGATCGCAGGCCAGGCCGAGGGACCCCACCCATGCACAAATTCATGCACCGGGCCTCTAGTCAGGTAATAATAGACTGGTAATAAAATAGAAAAATTCATTGAGAATGTGCAAGACTCTTCTAGTTTCCATACAATAAATTCCAGTGGGCCTTATATGATACATTAGTTTTCTATTAAAAGATAATCTCATAACTTCCCTAAATTTCAAAAATCTACCAGTCCAGTTTTCAATACAACCATTCACAAAAAAAAGCCAGATCAATTAGCTAGATATGTGCATAGTACCTGACACTTATACCATAGACTTCACAGGAAAGAACATATCACACCATAAATCAGCAAATTATACTGCACAGTGAAGAGAACTGCTTTTGAAAATCGCTTAATTAACAGAGAGAGACTGCATGGTAGAGTGCAAAAAGGGCAAAGGAAGCCAAGAGATATGGACTCCAGCCATATCACTCTTGATCTAGTATGAACTTCAGTATTTCACTTAACATCTTCATGAAATAATCTTGTAAATTATGAATTTCAATATATAAGGTTTCTTTTTTAGAAAAATATATTTTTATTGATTTCAGAGAGGAAGAGAGAGATAAGAAACATCAATGATGAGAGAGAATCATTGACTGACTGCTTCCTGCATGCCCCCCACTTGGGATTGAGCATGAAATCAGGGAATATGCCCTGACCGGAATCAAACCATGACCTCTTACTTCATAGCTCGTTGCTCAACCACTGAGCCACACCGGCTGGGCTCAATATATAAGGTTTCTTAAAAGGACAGTTCACCTCTATAGTTCTATGATTCTAAAGTCATTACCCAGTAGCATAAATTGAGTTAATCCCTCATTTAAGTGACAGTGTTATGGAAATCTCTATCACTTCCTTTCTAGTTTTGTCACGTGCTATAATGCTGAGGTTACCAGATGTATGATTCCTCAAGGAGTCAAGTAGTACTGAATTTAAGATTTCAGAAAAAACAATTAGGTGGCTGAGGCCTTTTGTCTTTTCTTTTTTTAAAATACAAATTCTATTCCATCATCTCTCATTAACTGAAATCCTAGGTATCAAAATCCTTTGAATAAAGGTAATCTTAAAACTTATCAAGTTTTTAATAAGCTACATTAGTAATTTTGAACATTCTATTAAAAATTTCAGAAAAAGTATTATCTATATATATAAAAACCAAGCGACTGGAACACCCAAATGACCGGAACAACTGATCACTATGACGCACACCGCGGTGGCCAACCAGCCCAATTGGGGTCCTGATCAGCACCCCCAACCTCCCATGTCCCCTCCCCCACTACCGGCCCAGCCTGACTGGCCCCCAACCACAGGGGCAGTGCCGCTCAGCCAGAAGCCAGGCTCATGGCTGGCAAGCGCAGCGGCCGTGGTGGGAGCCTCTTCCACCTTCATGGCAGCGCTAAGGAGCAGCAAGCTGAGCAGTAAGGAGCGAGGGGTCCCGGAATATGAGAAGGCACAGGCCAGGCTGAGGAGACTGTCCCCATCCCTCCCCCAACCCCAGTGTATGAATTTCGTGCACTGAGCCTCTAAAGAAAGTACTATAAATCTATAAGAAATAAATATGAAGGAAAAATACTTCAATTACTTACTTCCTTCAAATGACTTTCTGTAATTCACATTAGTATTGCCTGGCAATTTAGGAACAAACCTATAGACGTGAGTTTTACTAATCCAGCTCCAACCACCATATCCTGTTACTCTGTATTCCTCTCCTTTTTGTTTCCAAACCTGTTGTAGGAAAGAGAATGCTTATAAAGTACATGTGTGGCTCTATACATTTTTACCAAACAAAATCAACAGGCAGACAAATTAATTAAATTTATCAATTTTATTTTCAGCAAAAAATCAAAGATTTATGAAAAAACCCTAATTTTTCTTTCTGATATAAAAAATGTAACACAATTTTACAATGTGATGACAATTTCAAAAAATTGGTCTAATAACTCACCTATATTCTACTAAGATAAATCTATGCTTATAAAATTGCCAGAAAGATTACTTCATTCCAACTTTATGAAAAGATTATCAAAAGTACAACAAACTATCAAGTACTCAAAGTTGTAGAATAAAAGTCTCAGAAATGGCGAACACTGTTTTAAAAATTGTTAAGAAAAATTACCTGATGTTTAACTGGAAATGTATATTTCACCCACGTAGCTTGTTGCATCGTTTCTTCCTCTTCTTGTTTCTTCTCCTTTTTTTTGACTTTCTCTTTTTCTTCTCTTTCAATTGATGTCATCCTGTGTAACCTAAGAATATAAGAATACAAAGATACGATTACATGTAACTTAGAAAAACAATGTAAAAATTAAGTGCTGAAAATTAGGAAGACAAAAACAAATAATGGTTAGATGTAATCCACAACCCAGACAACCCCAACACAGAAAAATAAGCAGATGCACAATTCCATAATAGGAAAAATCAAATTGTAAAGAGGCAAAAACAAGACATGCCATGTTCCCCTTAAGTAATACTCATTTATAATTGATTCCTAAAATATTTCATGCATACACCAATAGTTACACAAAAGAGGTATTATATTACAAACACACAACTACCTGGTTTTTAATCAATAAATAACTGCACTAGGAGATTTTTCCATACCGGAAGATACAGATCTTTTAAAGAATATACCACTGCATGAATATACTATAATTTATTAATCCAGTTGCCTATTAAAAAGAATACTTTATTTCTTTCTCCCCAAATAAGACCAACAAATCCAAAAACTTTTATTTTCAACCAGTATTTCTGATTCTATCTAGCACTGTGCATTTTAAAGCCTTCACATGGTCCACTAACATAGAATTCAGGCTTTCTACAACCACAGAGCAAGGGGCCCACATGTCTCCTGCTTCTGGGCCAGGGAAGGGCACAAATTAGGCATCATTAGGTATAGGACATAAGCCACACTTTTTTTTCAGGCCAGACAACAGGTATCACTGCATTCCCCAGGTAGGGGATGGGCAAGCCTGTGGTGAAACTCTACATTAAGGTGTTTTAGACGAGCAGTTGCCAACCGGAGGTCCGCAGACCACTGGTGGTCCGTGAGGTCCGAAAGGTTGGCGATCACTGTTTTAGACTATATGTGCACGAATGGAACTATTTCCTACAAGCAGGAACATTAACCAAGACCTACAGAGAGAAGTTCCTGTCTTTCTGAGAGCTCCAGTGGCAGAATTTTTTGCATCACCCTCTACCCAGCTGTAGCCTATTTCTCATGCACAGCCATGTGGCATGAACAGAGATCTTTTGTCAGCGTGCAGGGAGGGAGGTGCTAATAAGCTGTGAAAGATTTAATTATTTTTATCTCCATTCCTAACCCAAAAACTCCCTACCTATCTTTAGGACCCCAGAATCTAGCCTCCCTGAGACTGACAGAACTTATGCTAATAAGCTGCACACAACTAGTAAAGCAAACATCCTTCTTCTCTCACAGCTGATGGGAGGCGAGGAAAGGGAATGGATTCTCATTGGGACTAACTCACTGAGTCAAATACCATCAATTTGCTATCAACCACTCTTGGAACCAGGGAGAGGGGCAAGCTCTGTAAGGCAGAGCATGGTGGGTAACCCCGACAGCCTCAGCCCACCAGAGTAAAGAGGGAGTGACTGAGGACCATGTAGCATCTCTCAACAGTTTCTGTGGGCTCAGCTTTAAACGCCTCTGCAAAGTCAGGTCCAGCACTGTAACTGTCCGTCTTCACTTTCACCGACAGTGGCCAGGGATGGCGCACTGTGTGGGGAGAGCAGCAGTGCAGTGACACTCTAGGGCAGCGGTTCTCAACCTGTGGGTCACGACCACTTTGGGGTCAAACAACCATTTCACAGGGGTCGCCTAAGACCATTGGAAATTAAAGGGTTGCTGCATTAGGAAGGTTGAGAACCGTTGCTCTAGGGGCTCATGGCCGAGCTGGGCTTTTGGCTTGTACTCTAGTGTTCACAGGAAACAGATCCATCTTCATCAAACGCTTAACTTTGGCAGGGAAGCCAGGCCTATGAGGTGATATTGGAGCTCATCTGTGAAGTTAGCTAAACCAGAGTAAATTCTAGGGTTCTCACACTGCCACCAAAACAATCCTTAGGAGAAAAAGCAGCAACAAAGGAGCTCCAAAGGAGTTCAATTCCTCTTGGCTGGGCAGAAAGCTTGGCTACTGCTGCCCGCCTGGAGGCCCCAGGAAGGAAGCTCTATCAGGCCGGACTGCACAACTCCACCTGCTGCTCTACATTAGTGGGTGCACTGGTAGTAGATGTTCCTTCTACATGACCCAGTTCAACTGAAAGCTGGACCAGGAATATGGACTGAGCATCAACTCCACTCCTAATCTCCATGTGGTGCCCAGGGTTTTTGTCCAGTGTGTGTTTGCTATGACAACCAAAGCTACAATAAGCAATGCTTTCTGGCGGTTTTGGTTAACTTGGGGAGTATCCTCCCCTGTCCCCCAGTGCTGGGATGACTAAGTCCAAAGGTTCATGCACTTAAAATGCTGACAGTGCCAAACTGCTCTTCAGAACTGTACACTTTACAGTGCCATCAATTATAAAGCCACTCTGCTTCCCATACCTTCACTCAAGTTAGTACCAAACTTCTAAATTAGCCCAACTGAGATAAGAAATACTATCCCATTGTTTTTATTTACATTTCTTTAATTATAAGAGAAGTAACCTTTTTTTATACATTTCTACTGGCCTTTCGTATTTATTTTCTGCATAATGCCTGTTCAAATCCTTTGTCTTGTCTGCAATGGACTATTAGTCCTTTTCATTTATAAAAATGTCTTTGTCAATTAAGGAAATTTTCCATTTGTAGTGCAAATATTTTTCCTCAGTTTGTCATGTCTTTTGAGTTTGATTACATTATTATTTTCCACTCAGAATTTTAAATACATATATCCACTCTTTTCCTCTATGGCATCTGGGTTTTAAATCTGTTTAAAAAGAAAGTATCACAACAAAAACATAAATTAATTTGTGGTTTCTTATTGAAGTTTTGTTTTTATTGTTATTCAGTTTTGGTGTGTTTTTTTAATCTTCATTTATCTGAAAGTGTTTGCTGAGGCAGAGATTGAGCTGATATTTTGTGCAAACATGCCCTGCCCTCTTTCTTCCTCTGGCATTCGATGTTATCATAGCCAGATTCCCACGTGTGCTTAGGTCTATTTCTGGATTCTCTGTTCGATTCCACTGCACTGCTTCCTCTGCAGTACAAATTATTTTGATCATTGAAGCTTCAAAATATGTTAATAATAATACCAATCCCTTTTTCTATAATACCTACTTCCCTTTTCCTACACATTAATTTTTCTAGATGAAATATTATCATTTTGGTGAAACTTCCCTGCACATGGAGAAAAATCCTATTTAATAACAATGCAAATAAATATTAATTTTTATAAATTACTACATAGCATCTTTAGAAAATATACACATCTAGGCATATATCTTTTTATTTACTAAAAGTATCCTTTTATATCTCTAATAAAATGATTTCTTCGCATGATCCTGAAGATATCTTGTTAAATTTATTCCTAGTTGAGGTTTCTTTTTTGTTCAGATCTTTTCTTTCATTATGATTTTTTTAAATATGTAAAATGTAACCAGGTTAAGAAACAGAACTTTATCAATAACCAATACATCTGAAGCTAGTGTGTCCCACCCCAGGTAGTCATTATCCTGGGTCTCTTTCATGGATTTACCACCCATGTATGTATCCCAAATAGTATCAAGTTAGCTTCTAAAAACTCCCTACCAGAATAAAACCTGCTACATGAGTGAAAGAGCAATATTGTCACTGAGGAAAAAAGAACTTTTCTCTGGATCATAGTTTACAAGAGCCCCTTCTGGTAAAATCCAAGGGCAAGTTCATGAGCAAGACCTGGAAGGCACTGGGCTCACCACACTGAGGCTCTGGCAGACTGTGTACATAGGTACTGGAGGCAGGATCTGAAGAAGACTGCTCTACATTTCCTGTTTCTGGGCCTTCTGAGGATCTGTGGTGTGAGCTGTAACAATTCTCAGTTCTCTCCCTTCTTGTGTACTTACTATTTGTACAGCTGCACTATTGCTTCCAGTTTTACTGGTGCTGCATTCTCTCTTGTTCCCCTTGTCCCTGTGGGTTTATGCTTTTAAAAAAATCCCTCTGCCATAGTTTTGGTGGAGCTCAGCAGGGGGCAAACTTAAGTACTTATTCAATTTGTTATTTTTAACTCAGAACTTCTACTGTATTTTCCACATGGTTACTGCTTATATACATAAAACCTATTGTTCAATATGGTAGCCATCTTACTTGATTTTCATATCGTTTCTGCTAGTTCTTCTAAGTATATAATTAGATCAACAGCATAATTGTGATAAACTGCCTTGGCTATA